TGCCGGTAAAGACTGCAAAAAATTACCTTGAGATATACGTTTTTCGTACTGTGACGCCTCATAATTATTATTAATAAATAATAATTAAATTCATTATACAGACATTTAAAAATGTCATAGAAATTATAATTTAAACAATAAAATGCAAATAATAAGCATAGAGTTCAAAAATATCCATTTGGAATATTGAATATTATATATGTTAGTAAACGCATAAAATGTCTCAAAAAATCTCTAAATTTATTAAAAACCTGCTTAAAATGTTCAAAATATATCAAATCATATAAATACAAGTCGATTATATTGCAATAACAAAGATAAATAACATTTGTAATATAATAGAAAAAATGGATAAAAATTTTCTAAGTTGATGAAGGTGTTCGTGTAATAATTGGAAAATTTCTAAGTTAATGAACGTGTTCTTGTAATGTTCCCTTATATTGGGGCGTTGTCGGAGACACATACCCAAGGTTGTACATATATATGGGGTGGTCGGCTGACCGACTGCTAGTACTAAGGTTGCACAATGACTAGTCCTATATTAGGGACTTAACATAGTAAGGTCTGACGAACCAAAGCATTAATATAGAAGGTCTCTATGATGCATAAGCATTATGATAGCAGAGTTATGACTTGAAGTCCCATATGAATAAGACATACAGTAGTATGGTCTATGAAATAAAGCAAATATGTGGAAGGTCTCAAATATGTAAAAGCATTATATTGAAAGAAATGGGACTTGAAAAGGATTATTATAGTGGCGTGTAGGTTGCTTCGCAGCCTCTGAGACCGAGGTAAACTTGGACTCACTAACCGATGTGTCCTAGACATATCATCTTAGTGCCGGTGGTAAGCGGGTTTGTTGTAGCAATACGACTTGCCCGTGGACATCGCACACCCCTACCGGTTGTGGGCGGCGTCTTAGCGCATAGCGTTATGATACGTCGGCTATCTTTCGGATTAGGGTGAGTGTGTTTGGTAGTACTTTTAAGTGCAGCAAGCATACTCAACTTCATGTCTTAGTGCAATAGCGCTATGATACGTGGAGTTTTGGCTACTGACGTCTTAGTACCGTACTACTATGATACGTTGGTGGTATTTTTAGTTAACAACATTATCAAATTTTGTTACCAAAGTCGATAGGGATCATGTGGGTGTGTTGTGAGGGGGCGCCATCCGTATGATAGTTGCATTGATGCTTACTGCTACTTGCAGTATTGTGTCTTGTGATGGATCTGCGGGTGTGCTGCACCTGATTCGATGCATCTTGTGGTTCTGGTCGATGGAGGTATGCGGGTGGTGATGTCTGCTGGGACTGTATGGGGGACCTTGGGATGGTGTAAGCCCGACGATAGTCGTATTGATGCTTGTTGCATTCTGTAGCATTGCGTCTCTACGATGGTTGTTTGGCGGGTCGCTATTCTCAATGGCGCTCTCTGCGTCTTGGTTTGACTCACAACCTAAGTAGCTTTGCCCAAGTCGGGTCCCTTCATTGCGGGGCTGCAGACTGTCTGCCCTCCATGATGTTTTATATAACAACTTAATAATATATCTCTATAAAGTTCCCACCTTTGAGAGATTGAAGGCAACTTGTTGGTGGGTGAGACAAACATGATCGAAAAATGCATATACTCAACGTCAGTGACACAAACCCTTTCTGATGGCGAATTATTAATATTATCTTATAACTGCCTATTGGCTATATCTGCCATTGTATTGGTTGGTGGAGCATATGTGTTGACCTCATGCGGGTGGTAGCTGGAGGGAGAATCTGAGGAGGCTCTCAAGGCTGCGGCCGAAAGCCGCGCAACGTGGGACCCCATTCCCTTGAGGTGAGCGGTAGACTCATGACACGCTCTGCGGCCAATTGGCCGTGCTGACCATGCAATTGGTGGTGATGCCTTACACTTACATCACGTCTGCAGGAACGGCGGTCTGGCAGGTGGTGGCGCTCACGGAAGGCTTTTTATGGTCAGTGTGCCGATTGTTGCCTAACCCGTGTGACGTACATTTCACTGTGGCTGGATTTGATCGTATTCTGTATGGCGTTTACACGCATTGACATGCGCGACTTCGGTCGATGTTTGTGCTTACGCACTATCAAGGGGCCAAGTCCTCTTTTACTGGTTCGCCAGTTATTTTGCTGTGGACTACGGTCCAGTTCCCAACTTTGCGTACCCTTCGGGGGGAGCGCATCAAAATGGTTGGCGCTCACCGTGCGCGGCGTGTGTGGGGCCGTGTACCTCCTCCACATTTTTTTTTAAAATGTGGGAGAGCGAAGCCCTTGTAACTGGTATTTGATATAAATATTGTGAGCCTTTTCCAAGCGGGAAGGGATTAATTAATAAGGAATTGACTGTTGTGAACCAGATACAAGTGGAATAGGGACAATTTATTGTTCTTAACCTTTTTGAGCTCTGTCTTCGTGAACGGGGTTCTCTAGCTTATAAGACTCTACCAACAGCTTTCGATTGCTCTCGTGAATATTCATTCTTCCAAGATACACCTAAAAGAACTAAGTTACTATACAAACACAACGTAAAAAAGGGTCCTAACTAAGACGATCACGCCATAAATTTATTAAACGGCCTATATTTAAACCTTTAGAAAGATCAAGTTATACTGGTCACGTAAATTAGATGTATTTATATATCATACAGATAGAGATTCTAAAGAAATACAAGTATAAGTGGGATATAGTAGAAAAGAAAAAAGATGGGGGGGGGGGTTCGTTACAATTTGGTGCCGTGACCAGGATAGAGGTTAAATTTTAAATAGGAGGCCGGTAATATAAAATTATGAGGTAGGCTATATGCCTACAATTTGTTGTCCGTGAAATGGAGAGGTGTCTTGGAGAGTGGTGTTTGCTGGGGGTGGTTGAGAGTCTGGGGGTGGGGCTTAAATATTAAAATTGAGTAATAATATAGGAGGTGTGTGCATAACGGAGCGAAATAATAAAAAGTGAAATAAGTGGAAAGACTCAATTAAACTAAGCGAAGGACACAACAGTTGTAAAAAAAAAAAAACTGCAATACTATATATTATAAAGTGAAATAAGTGGAAAAATTCAATTAAAGTAAGTGAAGGACACATAAAGTGTAAAAAAAAAAAAACAAGTGGAAATAAAAATTAAAAATGGCTAAAAATAAGAAAAAATCGACCTCAGTTAAGGCTAAGCCTAAAGATGAGATGAAAATGCTTCAGAAATTAATTAAGAATGCAGTGAAAACCTTTGAGGTTAAAATAAAGGATCTTGAGGAAAAATTTATTAACCAAACGAAAGATTACCAAATTAAAATAAATCAAGGAGAGGTGTCCGGGGCGAGCACCTCTCATGTAAATGATCCTAGACAAAATATTGTATATAATGTACATAATGTAACAATAGAAAAGCCGAAATTTGGAAATGGAAATACTCATCCAGTATCATTTTTGGAAGATCTCACCAATTATTTAAAGAAAGTTCCATCTAATGGTCTCGAAATTTCGATTGCACAAGAGTGCTTAGTAGGTGAAGCCAAGTATTGGGCTCGCATTAATAATGTGCGTTGGACAACTTTTGATGATTTTAAAGCTGACTTCCTAAGAGTGTTTTGGGGTGAAGAAGAACAAAATAAAGTAAAGAGATTCCTTGTGCAAAATAAATGGAATAGAAGTACACACCCCACCATGGTTAGTTATTTTCTTTATGTTGTTGAGAAGGCACAAACATTATCATATCCGATACCTGAAAAACAATTAGTAACTGATGTCATCAGACATTATCCTAAAACTGTGCAGCAATTATGGAGAATAGCTAAAATTGAGACAATAATAGACACGACAGATTTCTTAAGAAACTTAGATGACATCGACAAACAAGATGAAGGTCGTGAACCTTACTATAATGAGAAAAGGAGGAAGTTTAATAATAATACGGAGCAAAAACATAAAGAAATACGACAATCATACAAAACATGGCGTAAACCCGAAGAGGGAAAAAAGAAGGTTAATGAAGTACATGAAATACATTTCACTAATGACCAACCTGATGTTACGGCTCCTGAGCCAAATTTAGAGCTGTAGAGGTCGAACTAGTTCCCGATTCGACCCCTTACAATGTAAAAGGGAACAAAGCATTAAATATGTTATTAAAACTGGGTTGGCGACCTGGTCAAACATTGGGTAAAAACAATGGAGGGTTGCGAAAACCTATTACTTTAAAAGCAAATTTTAACAGAGAAGGCTTTGGTTATAACGACAATGTAAATAGCATATTAAACACCTTAAAAGCCAGGTCGGACTTGCCCATAACGGAGTTATTCGTGCAAACCGTCTTCGAGGAAGACGAAGATAAATATCAAAGGGAATTTATAGGGAATATGAGATCTGAAATTAAAGTTTCAATATTTGACAAAGAAATAGACGCGCTCCTCGACACTGGGAGCGATGTTACATGCATTTCAGAAAGTTTATATTTACAAATTAAAGAAAATAATCGTAAAATATCAATAATGCCAGTTAAAGCAATGCAAATAAAAGGTGCTGTTGGGCAGCGCAGCACAAAAATACAACAGATGATCATATTGCCTATAAAGATAGATGAAGTAGTCTTTGAAACACAAACTTTAATTGTAGGTAATTTAATAAGACCTTTAATATTAGGCTTTGACTGGCTCAAGAGAAATAAAATATTGATTGATTTGAGAAATACTACTGTTGGAATAGAATTTAAAGTGAAAAACAAAGACTACTTTATACCTTTCAAATATAATAATAAATCTGTATTACATAATAACTGCATCAAACAATGTACCGATGATTCCTTAATAAATATAAAAATAGGATCTACATTGGAGGTCTCTGAAAGGGCAAAACTTAGTAAGGTTTTGGAAAAGCATAAGAATATGTTTTCGAGCAAATTGGGAAGAGCCAATTGCTATGAGCATAAAATTGAAATGATCGATGATGAACCTATAGTTACTAGGTCCTATCCCATTCCATATGCATATAGAGCGAAAATGGAAGAAAAGTTAAATGAAATGGAACAAACTGGTATCATCACAAGGACATCAACGCCATACAGTAGTCCATTGACATTCACTCTTAAAAAAGACGGCTCAATTAGAGTACTGCTTGATGCCAGAAGCATAAATAAGAAAATGGTTGCAGAAACAGAGAAACCACCTATACAATTAGATGTTTTGAATTCATTTCACGGAGCAAATTATATCACTACCATGGACTTAAATAATGCATATTTTCAAATTCCGATAAATAAAGATGGTAGAAAATATACTGGATTCACATTCAATGGAAAGTCATATGTATATAATGTTTTGCCGCAAGGATTAAAAACATCAGTAGGAAGCTTTAGCAGAGCCATGAATTTAATATTAGGACCAGAAGTCCAAGAATTTTGTGTGAACTATTTAGATGATCTAGCCATTATTAGAACAGGAACGTTAGATAAACATTTGGAGCACATTGATATTGTTTTAAGTAAATTGAACAAAGCTGGCTTAACGTGTAACTTGCAGAAATGTGAATTTATTTGTAAAGAAATTAAAATGCTGGGTTTTATAATTTCAACAGAAGGCATAAAGACAGATCCCGATAAGATTCGAGCGATCCAAGAGTTTCCAGCACCTAAAAAGATTAAACAATTAAGGGCCTTTTTAGGTCTATGCAATTTTTATAGAAGGTTTATACCAAATTACAGCGAGAGCATAATACCGCTCTGTGAATTACTTAAAAAGGGACGAAAGTTCAAATGGAGCGGTAAAGAACAGAAGGCATTTGATTTTATAAAACAACAATTTATTAATACAATACAATTGCATCATCCAGACTTTAATAAGCCGTATTATTTACAAACAGATTGTTCCGGTGTGGGTATGGCCGGAGTACTATATCAGATAGATGATAATAATGAAATGAGAATTTTAGGCTATCATAGTAAAGCCTTAAAAGGCCCCGAATTAAATTGGTCTGTTACTGAACAAGAGTTTTATGCTGTAATAAGCTGCCTAAAGAAATTTGAAACATATTTGCGGGGCAGTAAAGTAATAATACTAACTGATCATAAAGCATTATTGTTTATTAATAATATGAAGTTATTCAATGGTAGAGTAACCCGATGGATTTTGTATATAGAACAATTTAATTATGAAGTACAGCATATATCGGGTAGACGTAATATTGTTGCAGATCTATCACGTTATTCTCCTGATGGCGATTTAATACAAGAGGAAAAAATAATAGTTTAGAAATTGCTTACACAGAGAGCGAACCGAATATTGAGTTGATAGAAAAATTAAAATCCTTATCAGTATATCAATTACAAGATTCAGAGTCGTTGGCTATTATTGAAAAGTTAAAGACATTAAATACTTCCATAATAAAACAAAACAATAAATTAAAAAGATATAGTTTGAAAAATTATGTATTATATTACAAAACGAATTTACAAGAAGTAATATATTTACCTAAAGCATTGAGACAAGATATTATAAATCAAGTGCATGTCGAAATGGGTCATCATGGACCCTATAAGGTAATTAAATATGTGAGAGACAGATTCTTTTGGAAAGGTTTAACAAAAGATATTAAAAACCAATTAAGGTCTTGTCATTTATGTCAGTTATCTAAGAAAAGCAATATAACATATGTGGGTCCCTGCAAATCTATAATAACAGAAAACATTGGCGATATAGTCATGGCAGACTTATATGGACCGCTTGTATCAGGTACCTTTGGGTACACTTTCATATTTGTCATTCAAGATTCATTCAGTAAATTTATCAAATTATATCCTTTAAAACAGTCAACAGCAAAGTCTGTTGTAACAAAAGTAAAGCATTTTGTTGAGATTATAAAGCCCAAGGCAATAATGACAGATAATGGAAAACAGTTCGTAAGTAATCACTGGAAACAATCAATGAGAGATTTAAATATAAAGCCAATATATACCACAGTTAGAAATCCTAGACCAAATACAACAGAGCGAGTAAATAAAGAGTTGAGCAGATTATTTAGGACGCTTTGTCATACTAACCACAAAGATTGGGCATTAATATTGCCGAAGTTAGAAGAATTGTATAATAATTCTTATCACAATAGTACAGGCTTCACGCCTTGTGAAATTCTTTATGGTGAGTCTAATGAGATGTCTTTTGACAAAGTAATTTCCAAAAGCAAAGAAAAACATAATGTCGAACAAATTAGACAACAAGTGCGTAAAAATTTAAAAGAGGCAAGTCGAATAAGAAACATAAAATTTGATAAGCGAAATAGATTAATAAAATATAATATTGGTGACTTAGTAAAAATTTCAAGATCTAGTAGATCAGACGCTGATAATAAAGTTATGAGTAAGTTCAATTTGGCATATGAAGGACCTTATTTTTTTTTTTTTTTTTTTTATGGGATTAGGGAGACAAACGAGCACACAGTCCACCTGATGGTAAGTGGTTGCTGCGGCCCATAGACATCTACATCTATCCTCTGTTACAAATCAAAATGTAGATGCGTTGTCACCCGTGAGGACTAAGATGAAATGCCTCATTTCCAGTAAAAAGGGCCTCCGGCCACCTGCACTCACCAAGCGAAACGCAGAGGTAAACCTCTACTTCACGTTGGTTTTCTGTGAGGTCGTGGTACTACCCCGGTTCGAGCCGGCCCATCCGTGCGACAGCAAAAGCTGCCGCATGGCTCTACCACTGTTAAAAATAGTAGTAGCAGCCGTACCATTTGACAATGTATATACCTTAGCAAATCCAGAGACAAACGAAATTAGAGGAATTTTTAATGCTATTCATTTATTAAAATATTTTAAATAATAATTTCTTTTTGTATAAATTAGAGTAATTAAATAAATATTGTAACATAAAAGGGTTTTGTGGGTGGCCTATGGAAATAATTGTTTAAGTTAAAGGTCTAAAATTATTAAAGTTATGAGCAAGAGATTTGTTATATGATAGTAGAACGTTATTAATATATAATGAAGAGTTGTAAATATAGATCGTAAGATAATTTTGTAATCATTTTTATTAAATAAATATGGGAGTTGGGTCAGGGCGAATGGCTCAAACACATTTATCCTATGTGGTATCGAACTGACCTCAACAAATATCAAACTGGATTGTATGCACATAAAGTGTGACACTATCGAAATAATGTTTCAAAGATTTAAAGATAAATTAATAAAATAAGAAATTGACAATTGACTGCAAACTTTATTAACAACACGATATACAATAACTTGAATTATGGTGTTATCACATTGTGATAATTGTGGTTGAAGGGGTGTTGGTGGCGGCCATTCTCTGGGGCAGGGGGATTTGATAACATATGCCGTATTGTAACAGATTAAAAGAGGAAAGAACAGATATATCAACAATTATTTGAGTGTAGTGAATATGCTCTCAAAATACTAAAATTTTATATTAACGACTCCACTATGTGGATCATTAACATAAAATTTGGGGGTGGATTGTGACGCCTCATAATTATTATTAATAAATAATAATTAAATTCATTATACAGACATTTAAAAATGTCATAGAAATTATAATTTAAACAATAAAATGCAAATAATAAGCATAGAGTTCAAAAATATCCATTTGGAATATTGAATATTATATATGTTAGTAAACGCATAAAATGTCTCAAAAAATCTCTAAATTTATTAAAAACCTGCTTAAAATGTTCAAAATATATCAAATCATATAAATACAAGTCGATTATATTGCAATAACAAAGATAAATAACATTTGTAATATAATAGAAAAAATGGATAAAAATTTTCTAAGTTGATGAAGGTGTTCGTGTAATAATTGGAAAATTTCTAAGTTAATGAACGTGTTCTTGTAATGTTCCCTTATATTGGGGCGTTGTCGGAGACACATACCCAAGGTTGTACATATATATGGGGTGGTCGGCTGACCGACTGCTAGTACTAAGGTTGCACAATGACTAGTCCTATATTAGGGACTTAACATAGTAAGGTCTGACGAACCAAAGCATTAATATAGAAGGTCTCTATGATGCATAAGCATTATGATAGCAGAGTTATGACTTGAAGTCCCATATGAATAAGACATACAGTAGTATGGTCTATGAAATAAAGCAAATATGTGGAAGGTCTCAAATATGTAAAAGCATTATATTGAAAGAAATGGGACTTGAAAAGGATTATTATAGTGGCGTGTAGGTTGCTTCGCAGCCTCTGAGACCGAGGTAAACTTGGACTCACTAACCGATGTGTCCTAGACATATCATCTTAGTGCCGGTGGTAAGCGGGTTTGTTGTAGCAATACGACTTGCCCGTGGACATCGCACACCCCTACCGGTTGTGGGCGGCGTCTTAGCGCATAGCGTTATGATACGTCGGCTATCTTTCGGATTAGGGTGAGTGTGTTTGGTAGTACTTTTAAGTGCAGCAAGCATACTCAACTTCATGTCTTAGTGCAATAGCGCTATGATACGTGGAGTTTTGGCTACTGACGTCTTAGTACCGTACTACTATGATACGTTGGTGGTATTTTTAGTTAACAACATTATCAAATTTTGTTACCAAAGTCGATAGGGATCATGTGGGTGTGTTGTGAGGGGGCGCCATCCGTATGATAGTTGCATTGATGCTTACTGCTACTTGCAGTATTGTGTCTTGTGATGGATCTGCGGGTGTGCTGCACCTGATTCGATGCATCTTGTGGTTCTGGTCGATGGAGGTATGCGGGTGGTGATGTCTGCTGGGACTGTATGGGGGACCTTGGGATGGTGTAAGCCCGACGATAGTCGTATTGATGCTTGTTGCATTCTGTAGCATTGCGTCTCTACGATGGTTGTTTGGCGGGTCGCTATTCTCAATGGCGCTCTCTGCGTCTTGGTTTGACTCACAACCTAAGTAGCTTTGCCCAAGTCGGGTCCCTTCATTGCGGGGCTGCAGACTGTCTGCCCTCCATGATGTTTTATATAACAACTTAATAATATATCTCTATAAAGTTCCCACCTTTGAGAGATTGAAGGCAACTTGTTGGTGGGTGAGACAAACATGATCGAAAAATGCATATACTCAACGTCAGTGACACAAACCCTTTCTGATGGCGAATTATTAATATTATCTTATAACTGCCTATTGGCTATATCTGCCATTGTATTGGTTGGTGGAGCATATGTGTTGACCTCATGCGGGTGGTAGCTGGAGGGAGAATCTGAGGAGGCTCTCAAGGCTGCGGCCGAAAGCCGCGCAACGTGGGACCCCATTCCCTTGAGGTGAGCGGTAGACTCATGACACGCTCTGCGGCCAATTGGCCGTGCTGACCATGCAATTGGTGGTGATGCCTTACACTTACATCACGTCTGCAGGAACGGCGGTCTGGCAGGTGGTGGCGCTCACGGAAGGCTTTTTATGGTCAGTGTGCCGATTGTTGCCTAACCCGTGTGACGTACATTTCACTGTGGCTGGATTTGATCGTATTCTGTATGGCGTTTACACGCATTGACATGCGCGACTTCGGTCGATGTTTGTGCTTACGCACTATCAAGGGGCCAAGTCCTCTTTTACTGGTTCGCCAGTTATTTTGCTGTGGACTACGGTCCAGTTCCCAACTTTGCGTACCCTTCGGGGGGAGCGCATCAAAATGGTTGGCGCTCACCGTGCGCGGCGTGTGTGGGGCCGTGTACCTCCTCCACATTTTTTTTTAAAATGTGGGAGAGCGAAGCCCTTGTAACTGGTATTTGATATAAATATTGTGAGCCTTTTCCAAGCGGGAAGGGATTAATTAATAAGGAATTGACTGTTGTGAACCAGATACAAGTGGAATAGGGACAATTTATTGTTCTTAACCTTTTTGAGCTCTGTCTTCGTGAACGGGGTTCTCTAGCTTATAAGACTCTACCAACAGCTTTCGATTGCTCTCGTGAATATTCATTCTTCCAAGATACACCTAAAAGAACTAAGTTACTATACAAACACAACGTAAAAAAGGGTCCTAACTAAGACGATCACGCCATAAATTTATTAAACGGCCTATATTTAAACCTTTAGAAAGATCAAGTTATACTGGTCACGTAAATTAGATGTATTTATATATCATACAGATAGAGATTCTAAAGAAATACAAGTATAAGTGGGATATAGTAGAAAAGAAAAAAGATGGGGGGGGGGGTTCGTTACAGTACGTTCTATAACTTTAGTCCAACTTATCATTGGAATGCAATAGACAATAAAATGCAATAAACTACAAAAAAAAGTTTGTCCGGT